CATGATCGATTTGTCAGGAAGGAGACTTCCTGATATTATCGGATTGGAGGGATCGATCCCAGCGTGTGGCATCTTTGGAAAGTGACTGAAAACCATACCAAGCCTTGTGAGTGAAATTGTAGAGACGGAGACCTTGGGTGACGTCGATATCTGTGCTAGCACTGTCACAAGTCATCATGGCCGATGGCTTAAACGTGCTGAACTTGTTCAAATTGTTGAACACGCTAGATAACACGTTCTTTCCCAGAAACTGTAACTAAGTTCTGCTCAGCCTAGTTGCAGTATAAACCACAGGTAGGCTCTGTGGATGTTGAATAAAAACAAATGAGCCTGAGCAAGCGTCTGCAATAGGGATTGGCTAGCTTCCCTAGTAGACGAGTATCCTAGAATACGAGTGGCCAGCTATACATACGTACATATAACGCCCGTACGTGCAAAGGAACTTAGAGAGAGGGACAAGAAAATTCTCCTAAGATTTTGTTTTATTTGCTATTATTGTCATGTAAAACGTATCAATTTCTGCTTTGATGACGTCTGCAAGGAGCGTATAAAAATATCAAATTGCATGACTTCCCTCACAATCTAAATAAACGCTCATTTTTCTCTCCATTCTTTTCAAGTACTCTTAATTGCTAAAACGGGTTTTGTTGCGCATAATGATTTTTAGTTCCATCATGTGTGTATACGAATATTCATATAAAATATTACATTCAGCTTCACGTCTCGCTCTCCAACGAACCGGGTTCAAATCCCATTCTTTCTATTGCGTTCACTTTGCAAGAATTGTACTTGGAAAATGCAGGAATCCACATCTTTCCCTCACTCCACTTAAAAAAAGTCAATGGCGCAGTTACTTGTATCCAAGGATGCCACGACTATCTAATTCGCCGGCATATTTGTATATGTTCAACACAGAGAGCCCACCTATGTTTTATAATGGAACTATACTGAGAGGACCTTGGTTACATTTTCTGGGAGAGAACGCGTTATCTAGCGCGATCAATAGACTGAGCCAGGATAGTACTCGGTCACGATGGCTTGTCATTTCGTGCAACTACCGTCGGCTCCCGAGTTGTTCCGTCTATCCAATTTCTCTCACAAGGCTTGGATCAAACATTTGTATGGTTTTCAGGTACTTTCCAAAGGTACAGCACGCTGGGGTCGCCTACTCCATACAGATAACCTTAAGAAGTCTTCTTCCTCACAAATCTGAGCTTCGAACACGGGTCTCATGGTTAGAAAGCGAATGTTCTAACCACTCGGCCAGTTATAGGGTAAATATCAGGCTAGCCTGCGTTCACTTGCCCTGTATTGCAACAAATCCAGAAAGAAAACCCTGAATTCCAAACCGTGGTGATGGTAAACGGGAAAATATGTCACTGTCTTTCCACAAATATCAGGACAATTCACAGGCAATAAAGAAGTGAAATTTGTACAGACCCATAAACGCATAACAAAAAGCGTCTCTCATATGTTTTTTTTGTTGCTATCTTTGCAATCAAAACAGAATAAGCCATTGTTTATGAGGTACTGTCAGGCGTAACGTACATACGAACTAAGGAACAAACTAAATCATGATATGAGATTTCAAAGTCTAACTGGGCCAACAACCTCATATTTTTTTCTTAATCCCTAAAATTAACGGGTCGGGGACGTTCCGGCGTAGCCCATTTGGCGTCGCTAATTCAGCGTGGCCGATTCGACATAGCAACTTTTCGACAGAGGTACGATTAGGCGTCAGATTACTACTTCGTTGTTATAGCCAAATTTCCTTTCTCAAAAAGCTAAAAAATATAGAGACGCTGACGAACGAATCTAAAAAGTCATAATGGAAGTTAAATTATTTAATCCTATAAAATTCCTGAAGGGTGTTGCTCATAATCATGAAATGAAGAAATAATTTCTAAGATTAAATAGCTTTACTAATTTAAAAAAAAAATTTGAAATACAATATTTTTAATTTACATTATAGGATCCTTAATTCCCTAAATGAATAAAAGTCATGTTAAAAGTTAGCTGTTTTCAATGCTTTTATCCTTTTTTTTTCTTTTTTTTTGTGGGTGGGAGTGCCTCCGGTCAAAGACAGTGACGTCGAAACGGTTTGACACCTGTGTCAAATAGTCCAATTGGCTGTGTCAAATAGTCCAATTCTTCTTCTGACGCCGAAACAGCGACGCCAAATCAGCGCCGCCGAAACGATATTAAACTCAAAATTAACCTACCCTTCTCCAATAACTTAGAATTAGGATAAGGATACAAGCTGTCTTGTAAATGGTTTGAATATATCTGAATGAAAAATACGAGTGTTTGAATTTGACGGAATGTTTAAATTTGGTCATCTGCCGACAGTGACTTGTCTAAACATTCCCTTGAGTGCCATGCACGTCTATTATATTGATTCCGAATGTGGTTTTCTTCTCAATAATGATGACGCAAAATTCAGCATGGAAAAATGATCTCAGCTATACTGCAGAATCTGTCATGCGCAATCGGCATAACAAAAGGACGAAAAAAAAAAAAAAAAAAACGAAACAACAACAAAACAAAGAACTTCGCCACAAAACGCGACGAAGCTTCATGAAAACATCAGTCTAAAAAAACTCACAGGAAAATAAAACAGCCAACATGGCAACACGTCGTCGTAAAAAAATTGAATAACCATCGATCGACTTCTAGAAATGAGCGGCTGCTTCTGCTACTACGTTATTAACTATTTGAGTCCTGCTTTCATGAACAATTTTAACCCTTCTGCCTTCACGGTAGATATAAAAATAGTTACAAGCGTTTACCCAACGTTCAACCGGTATCTGGTCATTAAGGCATTTTTCTCTACCACCGTTCAACCGGTGGCTGGGCATTACGTCATTTTTCTCCACCACCGGTAAAGCGGTAGTCAAGGGTTAAACGAATGCGAGCCTGACCATTGAAAACTTTATATACAGTGAGGTGAAAGAAGTATTTGGACAGTAAAAAAAAAAAATGGATTTAGAATCAGATATTGAAAGAAAAGCATTGTCTAAAATTCACAATATCTCCGTAAAACAATTATAAATGCAAATAAACAGCAAAAGTAGATTATTTCACACGTGTATATATTTTATATACAAATTATTAAAACAGGTAGTGAAAAAAGTATTGTTTGGCTGTCCTGGGTTAAGCTACATCCGCGTCCTGAATAAGACGATAAACTACATCCGCGTCCTGGTTAAGACGATAAACTCTATCCGCGTTCTGAGTATGACTATAAACTACACCCACGGCTTGGGTAAGGCAATAAACTACATCTCACAGCAAGGCATCTTATCAAGATGTCTTGAGGAGCGTGGAACCACCTCTTAATTGCTGGTGTTCTCAGGTCCATTCTAAACCGGAGTGGTAGCACCTGTCAGGGTCCTAGATATGGCCAAATAGTTAACTCCTCAAAAGGCATCAAAACACTGTGAAAATATAAAAATATGTTTTAATACTAGCAATACTTTTTTGGAAAAACTATTACCAGCACTACATTTTTGAAAAAAAGAAAAAATTACCAGTAATAAAAGTTTTGTCATTAAATAACTCATAGCAGTTGATATACCGTAAAAGTAAAGAAACTAAACCAACCCATCACTTGTTTGGAAGTTTTAAATAGGTTCGGAAAAAAAGGTAATAATTACGACTGGAACGAGAGCTCTATAGCACTTGGTTCGGAAGAAGAAAAGCCACGAAAGAAAACACAAGGGAATATATACCTTATAATTGCATTGTTTTCAATAAATTTTGCCTCACTTAATTCTTTTTACTCCAGAAACAATTAGGCAATTTTGCCGGTCCCGTAAAATAGACATGTCTGTTTTGTCGGTAAATATAAATAGTGTTTTAGAACTAAGAATATATTATATTTAATATCGTCAGCGCAGTGTTAGTGGGAGCTGAGTATGAAGGACTTGAACAACATGGATGCTTTCAATATTTAAATATGGCGACAAAGATGAGGACAATAGTTCAAATAATGTAAATAGTGTACATAATACCTCATCTCAGAAATATAGACAGATACTGTAGGGCCGAGACGTTGTAATAAATATGGCGACAAAGATGAGGACAATAGTCCGAATAATGTAAATAGTGTACATAATAGCTCATCTCAGAAATATACACAGATACAGACGCTTCTCATATCTAATTGCTGTTGTATTAATTGGATTCCTGTTTTCGCTCCATAACGTCTACAGCTGTCATTTAGTTTCCATGGTATGTAAAGTAAATAAGAACTAAAGATTGTAAGGATATGGAAAACAGATAACCTTTGAACCCAAGATTTGAAGACGTCAACATTCTATTGTTCAAGGAAGCATCCATGCCAGAATTTGACCCACAAATCGGCGGTATTTTTTTAAGAAGCTTTCAGGTTGGAACACCTTACTTCCGAAAAGAAAAGGTAAATAATGAGAGCGATCCATCGCTCTATCTATCTGTTTCAGGCTATCTCTTTCTCCCTCTCTCTCTCTCTCTCTCTCTCTCTCTCTATATATATATATATATATATATATATATATATATATATATATATATATATATATATATATATAAAAAAACCCTTATTCTTCTATCTATCGATCTATCTATCTAAACCTTCTTTCTATATTTATATTTATGTCTTATTCTCCATCTATCTATCTATCTATCTATCTATCTATCTGACAATAGGAAAAAATCTTAGTTTTTGCCGACGCGTTTCGTCTTCCGACTTTATTAAAGCAAAATTGAAGCGATTTTTTTTTTCATAGTTACATTAAATTCAAAATTTAAAGAGAGAGAGAGAGACTTTTACGCATGCCTTTTTCTAGTTAATGTTAACTTTCTTTATACTAACAATTTTTTTCATGTCGACAGAATAGTAAAATTTTGGACTTAATGTAACTATGACAACAAAATCATCCATCTATCTATCTATCTATCTATCTATCTATCTATCTTAGTCTGTTTATCTCTCTGTTCATCTCGCTCTCTCTATCTGTATGTCTATCTGTCTATTTCATTCTGTTCATATCTATCTATCTATCTATCTATCTATCTATCTATCTATCTATCATATTTGGGTGTAATGTTTCACGCTAATGCATTCCCTTTATCGTGCCAGAAAGTTTTTTCACGTCTGAGTCCATCCTTCAAATCTATGAATCAACCATTCGTCCATGCATGGAATATGGCTGTCATATATGCTCTGTTGCTCCCGCAGTACGCCCTGATGTCCTCGACAAAATCCAGAGACGAATATGCAATATGATAGGTCCTGATCTGGCATCTAGTCTACAGTCGCCTTCTCAGACTTGCCGTGGCTTCCCTCCATCTTTTCTACAAATATTTTCACGGCAACTGTTCCGACTAGCTACTTTCGTTGGTTCCCAGACGGCATGAATTTAAACGAGCTTCTATGCTGTCATCTCGGTCCCACACTTTCACTGTCGAAACGGTTAAATGTAACAGTCTCCACTCCTCAAACAGTTTATTCTCAGGCACTTGTCGTATGTGGAACTCCCTTCCATTTGCTTGCTTCCCTGATAATCTTCAAATATTCAAGGTAATGTCAATCGACATCTGATACCGTGATATTGTTCCCCGTCCTTCTCTGTTTCCATTCCCCATGTTTTCTATCCTCTGTAACCCTTTGCGTGCTAGTGGCTCTCCAGTCTTTCTTGGGGCGAATTGCTTTAAAATATATCTTTATATAAAAGATAGTGATTCCAAAAAGACCATAAGTAAATTACATTAAAAAAATGAAAATGGAAAGCATAGAAAAAGCAGAAGTAGAAAAATAATTTGGTATGCACCTCCATACAACCAAATGGTAAGAAACAAATGTGGACAAAAATTCCTTGTATTAATTGTTAAACATTTTCCTAAAGATTGTAAATTCGGTACTATTTTCAATAAAAATTGAGTTACAGTTGTACTGAAAACCCAGAAAAATATTAAGAAACATAATGCTGATGTCTTGAATAAACACTTAGACCAAAGAGAATTAGACAGTATAATAATAAAAAGAGATGAAGCTAAACAAAAATTGTAACTACAGAAATTCTCATAACTGTTTTCTTAATAATAAATGTCACACTGAATCATTAGTGCACCAATGCAATATCTCATCCAGACAACGTAAAACTCTACATTGGATGCACAGGACATGTGTTCTCAGAAACGGTTCAACCAACATCAAAGTTCTTTTAGGATAAATAAATACCGAAATCAGACGTCTCCATCGAAATATTTCTGGCACTTAAAAGAACCAATAAAACACCTACTGTGAAATGGAAATTAATAAGTAAAGATAGAATATGTAGGTCATTAAATGACCCATGTCCTCTCTGCATACATTAGAAACTATATATTACTAGGTTTACAAAAAATAAATATTTACTCAATCAAAGAAATGAAATAGCTATTCTTTGCCGACATTGTTAAAAATTTTCCTTAAATAATGTTTTTAAAAAGTTGATAAATGAAATATACATATTTACATTTAATATTTAATAATAATTTTTACATAATTTAAGTAATTCTATTACATTTATTTGTTTTAAAAGAAGTATAATCTGTTAGTAATTAGAATTAAGAATAATATTTTAAAATTGTAGTTTGATACGACGTATTCATATAAAAATAACCCTTTTACAAAAAATCCGTATGTATACAAGTACAAATTTTACAGCGAAACAAAAGTGGCGAAAAACGTTTTGTCGTTGATAATGACCAGACGACATGCGTTGAACGGATGTCATCATTCGTTGAAAAGGCACCCCTTCTCTAAGTTAACTTAACCTCTTTTCGAAAGTAACTCATATTTTGATACAATAGTCCTCAGTGAAAATGAATACTCTACCATCTTTTCTCAAAGTGATTGAATTTCTACGTATCTTTAGAAAGTCGAATGTATGTGCTTCAAAAACTCAAAATAAGTTATTTAAAAATTCGCTTGGAAATGGAACAGAACTAGTGACTTTAATAGAATTAAAGTCACTAATTCTGAATTGAATTTGAAGTTTTTAATTTCTAGTTGAAAACATGGTAATTAGCGATGGAACCATATTTTTAAATTAGTAAATTTATAATATTTATGTTTTGTAGATTTGCATTGAGCACTGTTTTGTAAAAATAAAAATAATAAGAACACCCGATTATATATCATACTGTTCTTTTTGTTTATTACAATCTATCTATCTATCTATCTATCTATCTATCTATCTATCTATCTATCTATCTATAGTTTATGCAAAACTAGGTAATCCGTGTGGGTAGATCCAAGGAGGATGATATCCGGAGAGCTCAAATTTGTAAATTCAGAGCAAATATGTTTGAATAAAAACAGACCACTTTATGGTTCCATGTAATAAATTATTTCACCACAGCCTTTTTAAAGGGCTCTGGATCATCAGACTTTACTTCCAAAGGTTGAAATGAAAAATGAAAAGAAATTTACACATTTTTGACGGGCCGTATTAAGCATATGTAAAATTAACGAAGTGAGGATGTGAGTTAGATGTACCATTTCAATTCTTTATCCCTAACCCCACTTGGTGTGGGCCAGACATCGCTTAATTTAACGTATGTTATCTCTAGATATGGATGGGTAAGAGGTGAAGAAGAAAACTGACATAAAAGGAGGAAGCTACAATAAAATAAATCCTGATCATGAGAGAAGGTTTCACTAAATTTCTTAGACGCTGTTATTTCGCATTCAAAAATGTGTAAATTTCTTTTCATTTTTCATTTTGACCTTTGGAAGTAAAGTCTGATGATCCAGAGCCATTTAAAAAAAGGCTGTGGTGAAATAATTTATTACATGGAACCTTAAAGTGGTCTGTTTTTATTAAAATATATATATATATATATATATATATATAGATAGATAGATAGATAGATAGAAAAATAGATAGGAAAAACATGAGAGAGAGATATAGGTAAGAACAACATGTGATAGATAAATAGGAAGAACATGAATGGATGAAATGATAGATAGGAATATCACGACATATATAGGAACGACATATATATATATATATATATATATATATATATATATATATATATATATGTGTGTGTGTGTGTGTGTGTGTGTGTGTGTAGATATAGATATAAATAGATAGGAACATGAGATAGATAGATTGCCAGATAAGAACACGTGATAGATAGATAATAACAGACTGTGATAAATATGAAAAGAGTGATATATATATATATATAATATATATATATATATATATATATATATATATTGTGATAATTTTTTTTTCATTTATGCATGTTTCATTAAATAATATAGACAAGTTTTGCTTATTTATTTTATGTAAATTCTTTTCATATCGTCGTTGTTTGAAATCTTCCATCTTCCATAAACAGACTATCATTATTGTTTTGTCCATGTATTGGTTAATATATTGTAATCTCATTTTTATCTTTGATAATTGCTTATGTAAGCCGAAAGCTTAGATAGGACTAAAAAATATGTATCAATATTGTGATTTTCTTTCTTCGTTTAATGATAATGCTATTAAGCTTATCAGACGATATGATATAATTTACATGAAATAAATACAAAAACTTGTCTATATTATTTAATGAAACATGCATCAATATATATATATATATATATATATATATATATATATATTGATAGATAAATAGACCGTGATAGATATGAACAGATTGTGATATATAGAATGATAGATAGATACACACACACATATATATATATATATATATATATATATATATATATATATATATATATATATATATATATATATTGATAGATAGATAGATAGATAGATATGAACAGACCGTGATAGATATGAACAGACTGTGATAGATAGAATGATAGATAGATAGAGATACACACACACATACAAACACACACACACACACACACACACACACACACACACACACATATATATATATATATAAATTGATAGATAGATAAATAGATAGATAAGAACAGACCGTGATAGATATGAACAGATTGTGATATATAGAATGATAGATAGATACACACACACACACACATATATATATATATATATATATATATATATATATTGATAGATAGATAGATAGATATGAACAGACCGTGATAGATATGAACAGACTGTGATAGATAGAATGATAGATAGATAGATAGATAGATAGAGACACACACACACATACAAACACACACACACACACATATATATATATATTGATAGATATGAACAGAACGTAGATATGAATATATATATATATATATATATATATATATATATATATATATATATATATATATATATATATATATATAGAGAGAGAGAGAGAGAGAGAGAGAGATATTATTACTATTGCCGAATCGCCGTTAACCCTTTTCTCTTTTCTAGTGTAGAAGACCTCTTTCCTTAAGTCGATTTTATTAATTCCCATCTTTCCACTCGGAGATCAAAGCGCTCAATAGTCATACATTATATCCAATAAGCTTGAAGCATCTAGACACGGCGTGTTTTATTATGTCTCTGCTGTTATTAAATGTTTTTAGATCAATCATTATAGGTCTATTTATTTATTTTCAATTATTTCATTCATATTAGCACCTGTCCTTAATCGTTGTTTTTTTCTGAAAAAAATTCTTTGAAGAGAAAGATTTTATAAATAAGAAAGAATTTATAAATTTCAGACGGAAAGCAGATCTGTCAATGAATGCCAAACGCTTCCTCAGATCAAATCGGCTAATGCTACCATTATCATTCCCGAATCGATATTGGCACCATTCTCTGATTCTATAGCAGAAGGCTTCTTTCTACTGATTCTTTGGTACTTCTAAATTCCTTAAAGCAATTTTCTTAATTCCCATCATACTGATTCGGAGAGTAAAACTGTCAAACGCCATACATTATCCACAGTAAATTTGAAGCATATCAGCAAGGTGCGTTTTATTGTATCTCTAGTCTTATTAAATACTTATGGAACAATTGCGAAATCTAGGTTTCTTTTATTTTATTTATTTCGCCCATGTAGTCATCCTAAATTGTTAAATGACGTCAGATTCATCTTGGTGTTTATGCTTCTTCCTCGTGATAGACTTTCTCTTAAGAACATTACAATTTTAGAATTTGTTCTAAAAACATCAAGGGTTATTATATTAATAAAATATTTTATTCCAGTCAAAGGTATTTCCGATATTCTCCATTTACATTTACTTCAATTCCCTGAGAATTCCGATTCTGGAAGATACTTTCATGATATGTAAATATTTTAATGGAAATCGCATTTCCATGTCTCACACTTTTCTATATATATTTTTTATGACTTTGTGTAATTGGAGCATTACAGTATCTTTTAAATCACATTTCTATACGATATGGAAAATTATTCCATATAGTATTAGATTACTGCCCCATGCTGATAAACGGAGGCAGCCAGATTCTGAATTACCACACACCACCTGGGGATAATTACAGGGAGGGCGCGAGATTTGAAAGAATCCATCTCTTTCTCGGTGACCTTTCATAGCGAAAGGGCTTATTTTTTCCTTGCATCAAAAATTTAAATAACTTAAATACAGACATTACAGGTTGCTTTGAACTCTTCACATTACATTTCATTTCTCCTTTTGTAAAATGTCCTATCATGTATTTGCTAATATCTATATCTCTGAGATGAGGTATTATGATTACTTGCATTATTTACATTATTCAGACTGTTATCCTCATCTTCATTGCCATATTCACAACGTTTCGGCCTCTATATCTCTGAGATGAGGTATTATGATTACTTGCATTATTTACATTACTCGGACTGTTATCCTCATCTTCACTGCCATATTCACAACGTTTTGGCTTCTATATCTCTGAGATGAGGTATTATGATAACTTGCATTATTTACATTATTCGGACTGTTATCCTCATCTTCATTGCCATTTTCACAACGCTTTGGCCTCTATATCTTTGAGATGAGGTATTATGATAACTTGCGTTATTTACATTATTCGGACTGTTATCCTCATCTTCATTGACATGTTCACTACGTTTCGGCCTCTATATCTCTGATATGAGGTATTATGTTTACTTGAATTATTTACGTTATTCCATTTGTTATCCTCATCTTCATTGCCATATTCACAATGTTTTGGCCACAATGGTATTTATGATTAATTGCATCATTTACGTTTTTCGGATTGTTATCCTCATCTTTATTGCAATATTCACACATGGACCCGTGGATACAGACGTTGGTTAGATCCAATGAGTAGACCCAATATCCTGAAGAAGTCCTGGGCGTACAACAGCCGAAACGTTATGAATATGTCAATGAAGATGGGTTAACAGCTCGTATTTTTAAATATTTCTTGGTATGAAGTCTTATTTTTGTTTTGGACTTGCACCAATCCGCCAAAAATTGTTTGCGGGTCAAATGTACAAGCAGCTTAAGAATACTGTCCAAATTTTTGAAGCCCACAATAAATGAAAAGAATATTAAAGTAAAAAGATTAGAGGTTAGTCATTAGGCGAATAAGAGGTGAAAAGAAATTGAATAGAAAGAATATATTTGTATTGAATCTAAGAGGAAAATAAAGAATAGTATAAATGATTGCTAAAATATATCGAGTTTGGAGCGACAAATAAAAATTAATGCTAGGTAGATGAAAAAAATAAACTATCTGAGAAAGTGAGACTTACACAGATAATAAAAGTTAATAGTTCACCCTGTTTTTGGGGGGTGGGGTTAGTACGTCTTCTGCGTAGCTGATTCGACGTCAGAAAAATAATTGATATAATATAATTGAAATAATTGATATATTCAGCACAGCCTTTTTGGTGACACACATTTTCGATGTCACTGTCTTTGACCAGAGGTAACTTCCCGCCCCCCAAAAAGATAAAAGCATTAAAAACACCCAACTTTCAATATAACTTTTTATTCATTTAGGGAATTAAGGATCCTATTAAAACGCTAATGGAATAATGTAAATTAATAACTTAAATAAAAAAATATTGCATTTCAAAAAAAATAAACAAAAAAACTTAAAAATCTATAATTCAAGATCCCTCTTGCTAGTTGTGTCAAAAATAAAATGTATCCATCTTGTATCACTTTGATTCCTCCACGTTTTGATAAAATATTTGCTTCCATTTAGAACTAAAGGGACTAAGACGACTGAAAAATTGGAAGGTGCATCGAAGGAAATATAATATAAAAATACTTCCAACTACGCCTTTTTCTAAATATTAAAATATTTCAAATTACTGTTTTTT